ATTAATTTTAAACAAAAAACTAGATTTTTACTAAGTCCTGTTGATGACGCACTTTTAAAAAAAATTTACAATGTAACTAAGTCTGAATAATTTGCTGAATAGCTTATAAAACTATTATGGTTTAAATACAACGTTTTAATAAAATATCCAATAGAATCTAAGTACTACCTTTATAGAATGTAGATAACAATCCAATTATCCATTGCATTATAAAAATAAAAATAATAATATATATTAAATTAAATACAGTATATCAATGTTTTTTGCGATAAAAAATGTAAATACCTAGGTAGTTATAACAATAATTGTTTTCGAGAATTATTAAGTCATAAACCTAATGATATACAAGATTCATTATAATATGAACTAATGGAGGGAAAAATAATATTTTTTTACTCATGCAATCTTTTCATTATTTTGCACACTAGAATTAAATGAAATCAAAATAAGACTCAATACCTACTTATAACAGTAAATTCTGGTATTGTATATTACGTTATTGCCTGATAGGTCTGAATAAACTACTGGTTACTGTCATTCGATTAAATAATGCCTTATAAGTAATAGCATACTACCATATTATATTTCATATATTTATTATTTATTAATAGACCCGTTTGTAAAAATAGATCGTCTGTTTGACACTAAGCGATATTAGATACATATGTAAAGTACCTATATACCTACCTAAATGTTATATTATATTAGGTTTATATTCTAATAATATTACCGTTTAAAAATTGTATTAACAATAGATTTAGATTCTAAGTGGAACGATGAATGTATTGATTTTACAATGATGTGTGTTTCATTTTTTGTTTTTTATTTTTTTATTTTTGTGTCTGTCATCACCTTTTAGGATAGTAAAAGTGCTTGGATTTTCTTCAACAGTATCTTTTCTGATAGGAAAGTGAATCTAGTTGGTACTTTGGGGGGGGGGGTCAAAAGTAAAAATTTTCCAGTAGTTTTTCAAAAGCGCCGTGAATAACAAAAGAAACATTAAGGAAAAACGGGAATTTTTACTCTAAATCGATTTTACACTAAGTTATTTTGAGCTCTTTACGGACATTTTCAGTTCCATTTTAGATTCTGAGCGGAGCGATGAATGTATTGGTTTTACAATGATGTATGTTTTTATATTTTTATATTTTTATATTTTTTTTTGTGTCTGTCATCACGTTTTGGGACAGTAAAAGTGCTTCGATTTTCTTCAATAGTACCTTTTCTGATAGGAAAGTGAATCTAGTTGGTACTTTGGGGGGTCAAAAGTAAACATTTTCCAGTAGTTTTCACAAGCGCCGGGAAAAACAACATAAAAATTAAGGAAAAACGGGAATTTTTACGCAAAATCGATTTTCCAAAAAATCGAATTTGGTTATTGGTGTAACTTTAAAACAAATGACCGTAGATACATGAAATTTTCACTGGTTGTTTATATTTGCATTTTCTATACACGATAACATTTTCAAAATATTTTGATTTATTTTGAACTGTTTAGGGACATTTTCATTTTTCATTTTATTTTAGTTTTTTTTCTAGAAATATCAATAAAATTTTATTTGTTGGTTGCGAAAGCTTGAAAATTTAATAGAAGGCTCCTAATATGTTGTTTCAAAGGCAGATGAAAAATATTAAAAATCCTTAGTCACAATTTTTTTTATAAGCATTTAAAGTTCAAAAATTGACAAAATATGGAAAAATCACGAAAATTAGCAAATTATTTTGAGTTAAGAATTCGTAAAAATTTTTCTTTTAAATCTAAGATTTGAAAATGAAACACAAGATTCCTTATAAGATTATCTACCTTTATCAATAAAAAAATCTCTACCGGACAGTCAAATTAAATTTTTATGAGCGTTTGAAATTCAAATTTTTACAACATTGGATTTTCACTCGATTTCTCATGTAGCGATTTCCTTATTTTGTTGTAATTCAAAAACGAATAACTGTAGATACATGAAAATTTCACTGAATGTTTATATTAGCATTTCATATACACCATACAATTTTGAAAATATTTTGACTCTTTTTGAGCTGTTTATGGACATTTACAGCTTTCAATTTTTTTTAGTTTTTTTTTCTATAAATATCAATAAAGTTTTATCTGTTGGGCCAAAAAGTGTAAAAATTTAATACAAGGCTCCTGATATATTGTTACAATATCAGTTGAAAAATATTAAAAATACATAGGCACGATTTTTTTTATAAGCATTTAAAGTTGGAATTTTGACAAAATTTATCAAAATCTCGAAAATTATCAATCGTTGGAATTAAAAAATTATAAAATGTTCAGTTTTTATAACTAAGAGTTGAAAATTTAAAACAAAGATTCTCTTAAATAATTCATACTGTAACCAAAAAATCTAAAAAATATATAAACACACTTATTTTTTACAGACATTTTAATTTCAAATTTAGACAAAATTTCATATTTAAACCAAGAATTACGATTTTAGTTATTTTGTTGTGATTGAATAATACTATTCGTGGGTACTTGAAACTTCTAAAGTGTACTATTATATATCTATGATAGTATCACGGTTTTTGTTGATGTATAACGCGTTATAAGTATCTAATGGATATTGTGATATGATTAATTTGGAATTTATTATAGGTACCTACCTCGTATTATAGGTCAATTTTTTGTTTAATACCATAGATATGTATAATGTATATAATATGTCTTATACCTAGACTGACATACTGTCTCCGCTCAGAATCGTTTTTCTTATACAATGATATTATATCGTTGAATTCAAATTTAATATCATCCATTATACAGTGACCCACTTGTAACCTACTGTACAGCAGAGCGACACCCACTTGCCCACCTTTTTTTTAGTTTTTTTTTCTATAAATATCAACAAAACTTTATTTGTTGGGTACAAGAGCTTAAAAATGTAATAGAAGCCTCCTTATACATTGTTTCAAAGACAGATGAAAAATATTAAAAGTCACAGTTTCTTGTTATAAGCATTAAAAGTTCAAATATTGACAAAATAGGAAAAATGACGAAAATGGTCGTGGTCGTGTAATCGTCACTCGTGTATGCGGGATCAGTATTGCATACGCTATCGTTGACAGTCTATTATAAGTCTTAACGTGCATTAATTTTTAAAAAGTGATTTACTTTTTATTTATTAAATATAATATTTTGTTATGTACTAATTAATGTATTATATATTAATGAATACGTAAAACGTTGTATGTTTAAAGTAAAATTTTAAAAACAGTATAGGGGGGTGTGGGGTCTTAGCTCCCCCCGATTCCATTAACTTACTATGTCAACGCATCAGCTAAGCTGAAACCCACGCTACGCCACTAAATTATAGAACCATATGAACATTTTTATTGTTTGTAATCAAAAGTAAAACTAATTATTATAAAAAATTTGACATTTAATCAGCAAAATAATGAGTACAGTTTGTTATAAATTGCTAAATATATTATTACAAATCACTGGAAAATCAATAGACTATTTTAAATGTAATTAAAACATAATCATTATATAACTACAGCAGGTTCATGAGCCTGATTGAATTAATATATAAACCTATTCAAAGGTCGATAAGTTGATTTTTAAAAATATGAAATATTATTTGATATTTTTTAACAAAATGGAAATAACTGACTATTATTGATAGGTAACTAATATCCATGCGTTTTACAAGTGAATATAAAATGGTTGGATTTAATTTTTCTTATATTATTGATTTTTATTTATTAAGAATGACTATACAACATAATGGCAGATTGGCTTGTGTAGGTATATTATGGGGTATCTGAATATTATGCAATGTACATATTTTATATTTCTTTATAAAATGTCTATCTGTGTGACTGTGTATATAAGTATATTGTACAATATAGTACATACATTTAAATATTTCATAATATGTATAGTACTATAGTATCTATGTTATATTATTAATGCCATGTTTTTATGGTGTAACTTGAAAGACAATTTTACATTTTTAATTACATTTTATTTTTAATTATTATGTGTGACGTTTACATTATTTTTCCTTAGAAAGTGTTTATACTCGTACTATTATATTTAGGTATTAAAACTGTAGGTAAAGACCATTTTAAATAATTATTTAAGGACCGTTGCCCCCGTGCTGGTTGTCCGGAACCACGGGTTTGAAATTTGAATTAAAATTAAAATAGTTTTATATTAATTTATGCTACAATAATAATGTATGCTAAATTAACTAAATAACTACAAAGGTATAGGTCTTTATTTGATTACAGTGTACTCTCGGTAACTCGAAGCTCACGGGAGGAAAAAAAATTCGAATTACTAAAAATGCCGAGTTATCAAAATCTTAATTTATTAATGTTATTTGAAGGGGAATTATTTATTTGTTCGAGATGTCGAGAATTTAAAGTTATCAAGGTTCTAGTTCCCAAGAGGCTAAAGTACACTGTCAGTTGTCACTGTGTATTGTAAAATAATAATGTTTAACTAATTGGTTAGATTATAGATAGTTATCTGTATAAATAATGTATGGTTTTTGAATACTGTTGAACTAAGTCAGGGGTGTCCAACCTTTTGTGAAGACTGGGCCACATCATATAGGTAGAAGTTGTTGTGGGCCACATACTTTTTTTTAATAATAATACATTCAAATTTAATGATTAAATTATAATCTATAATACAACAATACATTTTTTTATAATTTTACAATAGCGAATAATAAGCAGAAATATTTTTACAATTACAGTAAAACTCGCTTAAGACGCTCTTTAAGGGACCAGCTCTCTAGAGCATTTTAAGCGGGAAAGCGTCTTATGCGGGAATGAAAATAGGGATATAGATGATATAGGGACCAACGGCAAATAGCGTCTTTTGCGGGAAAGCGTCTTAAGCGGGAGCGTCTTAAGCGAGTTTTACTGTATTAATATTTAATAATTCAATTATAAGTACACAGAAAAATATATTTATTTATAATAAAAAAAGTTTTAGTTTAACAAAGTTAAAAGTCATTAGTTTTTTTTTAATGTGAAATTTGAAATTTCCTTTTTTGTGAAAGTAATGAATCAATATCTGGATCGATTGAAGTTGTGGAAATCCTTAAACAACTTTCAAGGTGCTTGTCTGATATAGTGAACCGATTCTTACTCTTTATGTATTTCATTCTTGAAAACAATTGTTCGCAAATGTAAGTACTGCCGAAAAGCGAGAACATGAATAAGACATGGTCATGAAGGACTGGATATGTTTCTTTGGGTAGATATAATTTATAAAAATCTAATAAAGATGACTGATTGAATTTTTCTTTGAGTTGAATATCAGATGATTGCAACTCAATGCATTCCACTTGAAATTTAGTTTCCACAGCAATAATATCAACCGAAAATGGTGTTGTGAAAATAGCTAAGAGTTGACTATTCTTACGAAAATCTTGAAAACGGGTTTCAAATCCATTAATTAAAACTAAAATCAAAGAAGCATATTCCTCGTTATTCTTGGGATTGTATTCGGCCAACACAGGGAAATACATAAAATTATTCACCTTAACTTGACTTTGCCATAATTTAAGTTTCAGTTCAAAGGCATTTATTATTTGAAACATATTACTAATGAGTTGATTTTTACCTTGAAGACGTACGTTTAACTCATTTAAATGAGTAGTTATGTCAACTAAAAAAGCTAAATCCATAAGCGTTATTTGATGGTTAGTTTATATTTTTAAAATAAATTTGTTCTCGTAATATTAATATATTATGTATAATTAATTCATGGTTTTAAAATTGAAGTGAGGGCCTCATCAAAATCTATTGCGGGCCGCGGGTTGGACACCCCTGAACTAAGTACTTAAGGGGATTCGATACCGTGATTTTCTGTTTTTGTCTAACACACGCGTGACATAGTATTTTAGACGTGTTTTTTGCCAAACATTCCAATTGATCTATTGAAGCGATAAGATTTCTGAAAACAGATTTTAATTTGTCGTCAAGTCTACTTGAAATCGACTTTCCCACATTTTTGATTTTTTGATTTAAACTTCTCCAAAAATTGAAATAACAGAATTTTTAAATACTCTTTTTGAATATGACATTTAAAAAAATTTAGGGGATAATATCAAAAATGTGGGAAAGTCGATTTCAAGTAGACTTGACGACAAATTCAAATCTGTTTTCAGAATTCGTATCGCTTCATTAGATCAATTGGTATGTTTGGCAAAAAACACATCTAAAATACTATGTCGCGCGTGTGTTAGACAAAAACAGAAAATCACGGTATCGAATCCCCTTAATTGAATTTTAATATTTCAATGTACTGGGTAATCAGTGCCACAACAAGAATTTGTTCATATTCTGTATATGACAAAGGGTGATTTAGTGGCCATCCGCCATCATAAACATTATTTTGTTAAATTGCTACAGATATAAAATTTGTTGACTATAAATTACCATAAAGCTGCTCACTTACTTCTCGCTTGGTTCAATAGAATTTACTTATAAAATGATCTAAATTCCTATTTATTGAAAACTAACAATCCAAGTCAGTTTTGGCCGAAAGTGTTTCATAAACGGTTTTTACTTTTGAACAAAACCTATAAATAGTAAACGCCAAAGTTAAAAATATAAAACAAGCTGTTCAAATTTTGGATTAACTTGTTGCAGTATACCAGTATTATTTAATACAAACAAATCCGTCAATCGTATACATAATATTTACAAAAATTTGTATAACTACGTAGCTTATATTAACTGTGCAATATATAATATAATCGATAGCTTTTAAATTAATGACAAAATAAAATGTAGAGGCAATGAATGTGTAAATGTATTAGAATTTAGATATAACAGCCCCTTGTAAGTACTTATAATGTATTATTCAGTATTGTAATATGTTAATATTACATTATGATTATTTTGTTTGAGATCTTTATTTTATTTTATTACTTAAATACAGGGCCGGATTGGTTAGGCGAGTTACCGAGAGAATTTCGGTGGGCCGCTTGAAGTTTGGGCCGGTCGTGTGAGTGTGGGTGAAAATAAATTCATGTTTAAAATACGATTGGCCACCTGTAAGCTCGTAATAATTGTTGAAATATTAAATTATAATTTAGTTTTCACCCTGTATACAATAAGTAGTATTGTCATACTGTAGATTAGCTATATAGTGATACATGTATATGGAAAGCGAAAATGCACAGTTGACATATTTTCAATATTGTGTGTAGGTATATGGCAGTTAGAAACATTAGCTATAGTATTATTATAATATAGTGCTTATGGCAGTCGAGATATGTGACCCGTTGGTGATATACGTATTTCTGAGTGCATTGTATTATTATACGGTTTATTATTCACTGTATTAAAAATCTTTTTTAATAATTCAACTTAACATTGTTCGGATTACTTAAATTTATCGCTTCCTCTCAACAATAATTATAGACGTAATTTTGGGCCACTGAATATGTAAATGGGCCTCTTATAGAAGTGAAAATCTCGATTGGCCGATACATACCACTCCGGCCCTGCTTAAATATAATTAATTGCAAAACAGTGTAGGTACCCAATGTCATTATAAGATTATAATCACTACCTAGAGTAGTTGCATATTCACAGAGCCCATTGTTGAACAAATTTTAATGGATTGTCGTACGATATTCTAATACGTATACGGACATATTATTATTGTTATACAGCTTCATTTAAGGTCCACGCATGCAATATACTTAATGTCAACAATACGAGATCGTTGACATTGGAACTAGAACAGGCGGGTAGAACTAGGTCAGAACTTTAGTTGAGGAATCGCAGAGGCCAGAGAATAGGTATACAAAGGGGTGTATATGCGCGTTCCGTTGTAATCATCCCTTCGGACGACATTGAAGCGAGAGTAATATTTCATTAGGTCTCAGGTGGCTTTGTCCCCGGTAACCGCTAATGCAATTAGCAAAACATCTCCCTAATGCCGTACAGCGGGTATACACATTATACATATAATATAGCGTCCTCCACAGAACTTCCCTCCTGCACGCGTGTCCCCTTCCACGACGAACCTAACTTTTTAATGAAACTTTCAGACTACGAAATTATGATCGTTTTGCTTTAATAATATGACAATTATTATGTCGGGGACCACACATAATGCTCGGCCCGTTACAAGAGTTTACTGCAGAAGTTTCGTCCTCTGGGAGGTATTTTATAGCCATGTAGCACAGACAGACCACGTTGTGTCCGATGACTATGAATTGCACTTAAAGTCCATCCATTTTGTTGCCCGAATATTATGTGGGATGCAAATGAATCATTAACGGCAGTTCGTATCATTTTTCAAAATTATTTTAATTTTTAATATTTATCCGCAACTGTTGCTTTTGACTTGCCCACATGAATAATTAATTTTAATTTTGTAATAAGTTGAAAATATTTGTTTATGTATAATGTATAATATATTATAATCCCCGTGGTATGGATTATATATTTAATGTAGTATTTAAATAATTGATTCCTAAGAGATTTTATGAATGTATCTTGTTACGAGAAATAGCAGAAATAATTAGTTGAAATTAGTATTTTTTTTTTATATATTTAAATAGTTGCCATTGGTTACTCTGGCCGAAGAGAGAAAAGAATGCAGCAAATTATTGCGTTAATTTTCTTATAAAAATTAACCCGCTTTCTTATAAGATTATAATATATAGACGACACATAAACGAACCCGTTATATTTTATAAAGAGTTTTATATCAGTGTATATTATTTACCTCGGGATTATGGTTTATTATTATTATTATTTTTATTATTACCTCCATGGTTTATAAAAAGTTACTAAATTAAATGGACAAATTTGAAATTATGGATAAAACATTTTCACTAAAAATCTATAAGATATAAGTAGTTATTACCCTATAGAATAAACTATATCAATTATTTAGAAAATAATAAAGTAATCTAATGTACTTATATTAGTCACCAAGTAAAAAAAAACTTAAAATATGTATATAAATTTGCTTGACACAGTTTCTGAAAGAATTTCGTAGATAAAGTTGAAAAAATAAAACTGAGTTTTCTATAAATAAATTATTACTTTAACCTAAAAGTTAAACAAAAGTATCACATCATTGTTTTTTGGATCTTAAATGACAACGTCACTTTTGTAATGAATTACTTTACTTTTACAATTTCTTTCAATATAATTTGAAAAAGTATGGCTGTAAGCCAGCACATATATTTTAAAACTGTTTAAGTTTTAGCTTCATTTAAAAAGTAAAAAAAAAAAAATGTATAAAATAGTTCATGATTCAAATTGTCGACACTAATCTTTAGTTAAACAAAATCTTAAAATACATAGTGAATTTGGGACTTCAATGAGTAGGTTATTAAAGTCATTGGAAAATAATTGTCCACTAATGTTTATTATTTATTTCAGACGTATTCTAGAGGTTCATAATAATTTGATAGAGCTCTTATTTTAATAACTATTATTTCTTTTATATTGTTTTTTATACGTTAGTAGGTATCTGGTATATACAATTATTTTAAATTATTTTATTGATTTTCTTTTTTTATGAATTAAGTTTTAACTTTAAAATCTCAAAGTAAGCTGAGTATGTAATGGGTATGGCTATTGGGTTATCAAAAAAGTTATTTTTTTAAAACATATTTTTTTCATCATAATATTTTTTGTATGGACTTTTCCATGTAATTTTGTCTATGTTCTTAAAAATTGTATTTGACCCACAATACATTGCAACTATTTGATACTTTGAAGTGGTATTTTTTCGATTTTCTTCTCAGTTTATAGATTCTCCGAAAGCTGATCACTGAACACGGAAATCCGTTGAAGAAATATAATTTCTGAAAAATGTTAGCAAGCGCGGTATCAACCATGCTCCAATCAGAGTCATTTTTCAAAAGTGGTGATTTATGATTGCTTTCAAATTTAATTTCACAACTTCAAACCAATATCCAATGCCAAGGTGCAGCTGTGTAGGATCAAGGAAGCATCAATAGCACCCTTGAAAAATGATTGGAACTGACAATGAAGAATACACTACTTAATATATTTTTTTAATAATCTTTATTTTTATTATATTTGATTTTAATTATGTAAAATATTTATGATGGCCAAATTATATTTGTTGTTACGTAGAGTATAATCATAGAATACCGTCCGTTGCACTTAAAAAAGGAAGTAGGGGTATACCGGGTAGACGTCTATATTCAGCTAAGATATCCGAAAAATTATTCGGTTTACTCTGCAGTTTTTCTGAGGTTCTCCTCGTTTACCGTTCGTAATATTATTTGGCATATTATATCTCATTGTGTTGCGAGGCTTGCAGCTATAACTTATATACATATGACGTATACTGATGTGCACCGCAGCAGTCGAACAGTTCGTTACGATATAATATGTTACATACATAAATATTATCATAATGCGTATATGAGGCGATCAATTCAAAGGCTTATAAATAGCACACAGCTGAGTGCAGGTACAATGACGGGGACCGACGAGGGACGTGACACACCGAAAACGGTCCCACTGCAGATTGGACGCAGACTCGGTCGTACTTTGTTGTTTATACTCTGTTCTAGCTCTGTTCTATAGGTACATCATATTTTACTTTTTGAGACATTTTATTTTTTATATAAATATTTAGCAATGCATTAATTCCAAGACGAATTCGCCAAACGGTTAT